ACGAGTGGCCCTGTGCTACAGAGCAGACGTGAATTTCAAGGAAGGCCTGGCCTCTCGCATTTTTGTGGTGGTATTGTCGATGAGGCAGAGTTGTCGCTACTCGCTACTATTACAATACAGCACACTACTTATATTCATTTTGAGTAGTACTAGAGGCCAATTGTAGACGGTGTTTAAGGACCACTTTAATGTGCCACCATCGGGGCGGGCTAAAGGGGGGTTGACTCACCTTTTGCTTGATGGACATGCTGGCATCGGGCAGCCGGCCGGTTGCTCGCTTTCGTGCTCGTGACCGGGCCGCAAGCCCCTCAGATTGGCCTGTTCCGTCCATCTGAGTGGCGTAATTCCGTACTGAGAGGGTGAGCATGAGGATGAAGAGGAGGGCGAGGAGGAGCAGGAGGGCGAAGAGGAGGGCGAGGAGGAGGAGGAGGAGGAGGAGGAGGGGGAGGAGGCGGGCGTGAGATAAGAAGGGGGAAAAGACGAGATGGCGGATGGCGGGACGGGCGTCGAGGCCGGCTCGCGTGAGCCACTTGACGCGGGGCCAGGCTGGGCCTGCCTCCGCTGGCCGGCGTCGGCAGGGCCCAGCAGGCGGACGAGGCGTGCAGACGAGATCTGGCGCTCGGGGCGGGCGTCTCGGGCGGTTTTGCCGGCGACTGTGTCAGGCTCGTGCCGTGGCTGTGGCTGTGGCTGGAGGAGGCTGTGCGGGTGGAGGCGCGATGGCGGAGAGGGTGGGCGAAGCGCGGCGCTGCGTCGGCTCTCGGGCCGCTCTGCGGGCGTCGAGTCGTCGCGCCAGCCGGCGGGCCGGGCCGGGCGGCCCGCCGGCTGGCGCGGCTCCGGCGAGGCCGGTCTGTGCAGACAGCGGGCGTGGATCGATAGCCGGCCAGTCTGTGCTGGCGCGTCTGTCATCGAGAGCGACATTAGAGGGCCGCCGCCGCCGCCGCCGCCGCCGCGAGCGCACTGATGGCGGCAGTGTGTGTGTGTCAACCGAGTGCGTCTGTCTGGGCGGTCGTCGTGCGGGCGGGCCAGCTCGGCCGACGCGCGCGCCTCCAGCGCGTCGTAGTCGTGCAGGCTCGACGACCTGCGTCGGCCGGCGCCGAGGCGTTTGCGCACCTGATCAGCCAAGCCGCGGATGTTGCACGTGACCAGGCTCATCGGGGCTGCCGGCGTGCGCGACGGCCCGGGCCGGCCGGCATGCCCGGCTGGACGGGCGGCGCGGGCGAATCACGAGGCGGCCGACAGGGCCGCCCTTGTCGAGGCCTCGGCGAGGCGAGGGTCGCTGCGAGGGCCGCCTCGGCGCCGCCACGCCGCAGAAGCCGCATGGGCCGACAGGAAATGACGACGACGACGACGACGAGGGGCAATGGCAACAAAGGGGGGCGGAGAAGGGCAGCAGATGCGCGGCAGTTGCAGCCACAGGTCGGTGCTACAATGGTCCTTTTGTTGCCGTCTTGGTCGCATCCACGTCCTGCCGTGCAGGCAAAATGAGGGAGCTGGAGCACCGAAGCAGGAAATGACGAAATCTGACCCGCCCGCGGAGAGACCAGCTGAGACGGATGCCTCATCCCTCGTTCGCATCTTCCCTGCCCTGCCCTGCCCTGCCTGCCTGCCTGCATGTCACATGCACGCCCGTCTGTGCCTGCGCGACTCTGGACAGCAGGCCTGTCTGCATGTGCGCACACGCGGCACGGTGTGCTTCTGCACGCGATGCCGTCTTGGCTGGTGTCGTCGGACCGGCTCAAGTGGTCACCGAAACAGCCTCGCGTCGGCCAAGGGAATCGACAGGATGCATGCGCGGACGGCCGAGGATGACGTGACCGGACGAAGCGGCGCAGACAGGCGGCCGAGAAAGCGGGCTGCGATCGATACGGCACGCCGAACTGTGGGCCGCCGAAAGATGGACGTGCTAGACGAGGCTCAGGCGTGAGGCAGGCTGGCGCACAGGCACTGGAGGGCAAACGCAAATTCACATACTTTGCCACATCTTGATTGGCTGGCCTGTCTGTGCCTCACCAGAAGCGCTGATGTGGCGTTTGGTGGCTGCGTTGGTGCCATCATAACCTGTTGTGCACAAAGTTGTGCAGAGGCAGTTGACCAATCAGCGACGAAGGACAATAGAACAACCAATGGGAACTGGGCACAGCGTTTTACAACGAGGCCAAATGCAAAGCGGTCGGCAAACACACGCCCAGTAGACCGGTCTGATCGGGCCCTAATTCCGCGCTCGGTGGGGTTGGACGGACTTGCTGCGGTCGTGACGGGGCGGTGACAGCGCTGCGGCGTTGCGACGCTACGACGTCACGACGTTATTGCGCTACGGCGTCGCGACTCAATTCCGTAACGGCAACTGCGAGCTCATGTCGGCGACAAGGCATAGCAATTGGGAGTGTAGATCGCGTACCGTTTCGGGCAAATAAATGGACTTAGTCAATGCTTTCTCTTCATTTTGTATCATAACTGGAATGTAAAGAATTCATGACTGTCAAGGCGAACCAGGCCTCTCGCATGCGGCATTTTCATAGAATAAAAATCTACTGGTAGTATCCACACCTACTTCATTTGGCCGTAAGTAGTGTCGTCGAGTTTAGCAGAAATTACATGTCTGTTGTGGCCAGAATACAATTGAAAATGGGATACGATCTGACCTGAAATGTAGGTTTTGAAAGCAACTCGGGCAACTCTCCCGCTTCGGATGATTACTGGAATGGAAGGAATCTGTGACTAATGAAATGCCAAACCTCTGCTATTTTACATTT